TCTGTTAGCTCTAGCCGTGTGATAAGTGTTAAACAAACTCACTTTCTGTGGCTCTCTCCCTTCTCACCTTTGTGCTCGCACAATGGGAATTTGACATTCCTTTAGTCATCCGTTTCACCACCCGCTGTGTCTTTCTCACATGCACTGACAGGACAGGAGATGTTGATAAGAGTATAATAGAGAATCAAACAATGCTAAGCTGGGAGCGATTATTTTTAATTACCCACGGTGGAGCGTTCACTATCAGTGCGCTTTGAATGTTTGCCTTGGCCAACAAAAAAAAAGCTGCAAGCCATGAGCTTATTAAACCCGTGATATATGGTTTATCAGATTGTCGCTGGCTTCCTGGTATTTACAGCCCAAGTGTTTTTATTTCTTTGGAGTTTTTCGATGACAACTCCTTGATGAAAAATGGTTTGTGCAGGGAAAGCATAGGCCCATGTGGATATCTTTTGGTTAAGGCCCAGAATAATGTTTGGCCCAGTCTGTTTTGTTAAAGTTAAATGCTAACTGACATGCAATCTTGTGGCACGCTTTGATTCACATGCAACTGGACGGAGCACAAGTCGTTTCAAACACTTCCCAATCTTGGAGCTTTGTGTTTTTGGGAAACATTTAGGAAACATAGGCTCATTGGAAAAAAAAAACATGCCTCTTACGGACATTTTTGCAAAACTCCAAAAACGTATTATGAATCCATCCATAGATTCTCCAAACTACATGTTCTACGTAGGGCTGTGGTCTAAAAATGTACCTATATCTACGTTTCACTGCAGTTTCCAGCTGAAATGAACACTAATGGCAGTAAAACGCCAACTTGGTCCCACTTTATATTAAGTGACCTTAACTACTATGTACTTACATCAAAAATTAAGTGCAATGTATTTATTGTGTTCATATTGTATCGCAAAACACTTTTGCTGCTATTGAGGTGGGATATGGGTCAAATTAGGGACAGTGTCATTATAAATGTAATTACATAAATTGCAGGTATTTTTTAAAATATAAATACAATGTAAAAACATGTATGTTCACAATAAGTGCATTGTATCAAATGATTAATTTCAATGTAAGTACATTTTACCGTACATTTTTATGTGTGCGCCACATAACCAGCTCCCTATGTGTGACTTTTCTAACATAGTAAACTTGCTCGGTAGCGCACCTGGTACAGCATTGCATTTGTAATGCAGAGTGCTCTGGTATGAGTCAAAAGAGCGCAAAGACTTGTAAAAGCAAGCTAAAACAGCATGGAAAAGGCATTTTATTTAACATGTTATTTTGCTAACACTGTTGGCTAGGGTTCAGTGTTGGTGCTATGCTATTTTCAAACTCGGTAGAGCATTAACCTTTCAGCGCCACTCACTGAACATATATTTACGAACTGTCATGATATGTACAACAACTAACATAATAAAACATTGCCAGATTTATATTCATGTTTCGGAGAAATTAAATGTTCTTAGAGCCACTCACTGGACAAATCAATTTGAAAAAGCGAGTAACATGCAAGATGCAACATAATATCATTTTGCAGAACAAGTTTCTCCAGTGAGCCTGGGTTGCATTTAGGAGATCAGACAGCCTTTATCAGAGTGGTTTAGATATGCATGTGCGATCGCAGCAATTAATCTGCTTTATTATGTTTGACATCATGGTTTTGTTCTGCTTCAGACTGGAACAATGAGGTCCAGAATGCAAAAAAAATACAGTTTCTTCAACCTCTGCAGTCAACTCTCGAATTCCGGTTTTCATCCGCCGCAAACTGAGCGACGGCCGCTTCCGCATTAATTGACAAGACCAATAACAATCATGCATTTACATTTCTAAACTCTTCACGCTCACCAAAACGAGAGAACTCTCTCGAAAACTGTGAGGCGAAACTTTCACTCTGTGGCTTTCTCGGTGTGGTCGACTGAGCCAACAGCATGTCACTCACTCGGTTCAAAAGGCCTTGAGGTTGGTCTCTGCTGGTTCTTTTTGGAAACTTGCGGCTTTTGACATCCATAACCATCTATTGGCCGCGCAGCTATATTGCCTCACATTATCCAGACTTGAGGGGAATTGTTTTTGGCAACGCTTTCTGAAATTTTCCCACTGCAAAGCCCTTAAAATGTGCTTGCTTCACTCCATACCCCCAACGTCAAGCTGGGAGACAAACTGCTTCATTGCTCGCCAAGGTTTACCGAGCTTCTCTAATTGCAATTAGAGCGAAGTCCAATTAGCTTTCGACAATGACGCATTGTTGTAGGCATGATCCAGGCCGTCTTCAAACTGGTGCTTTGGGTGTCGCGCAAAGCGCATGGAAATCCAGTCTGTGAGTTTTCGTTGTCCGTCGTATGTCTATTAGGGCAGCTGTGCTGGAAAATGTTGCTAGAATGTGTGTAGCGAGCTTGTTTTCTTTTGTTCAGTCTGTGTGTCAATATAAGTAGGGCTGAGGTTGAGAAGAAGAAGTCCTGATGGTGCCTGCTAACAAAGGTGGGCTTATAACAGTAATAACAGCACACACTTACTCCCTGGTGCTAATTTGCTTGCGTTGAATCAGCGCACAGGTGGCTGCTAAACATAAATATATATATATAAATTGTCCTATTTGGCCAGTCCTATTCAGAAAACTGCATTGACCTGTGTTTATATATTTCCAATACACAAACATCTGACAATAAAAGTCGAATATGCTCACACACACACACACACACACACACACATTTATCAAGATGTATTTATTTATTTTTCTTCCATTTAGGACATACGATAGACTATAAAACTAATAAAAAGGACTAAAATAATAAACTAAATTATTATTATTATTATTATTATTATTATTATTTTGGTGTATATATATATATAAATTGTCCTATTTGGCCAGTCCTATTCAGAAAACTGCATTGACCTGTGTTTATATATTTCCAATACACAAACATCTGACAATAAAAGTCGAATATGCTGGAGAGCACAAGACAGGGGGGAAAGCAATGCATTCAGTGTGTGTTTGACATAGTTTTGAGTTTGTTTTGCACAATTTGATACATATATTTATGTTTAGCATGAAACCCATGACCTACCTGAGAGCACCTGGTAGAGTTTTACAATCTAAACAGAGCTGTTGTGCTGAATATGTCACACTATTTCACACATTCTCATCAACCCACCAGCAAATTCACAACTTTTGGATCTATTTTTTTTTTTTCTTTTTTTAGTTACATTATTAATTTCCTCAGAATTCTACATTTTTAAAACCTTAGGACTTTAAAAGGAAAAACTCTCTCACCTGCTTCCTTAGAGCAAATGTACATCATTGGTCTAACAGCGAACTGCCAAGTAATTATACTTCACACACTTATGCGTCTGCATGTGTGTGTGTGTGTGTGTGTGCGTGGGCTGATGAATTCATGTGATTGCACACACTGGTATGTGCTCGTGCATATGAGTGAGTTTATTGCTTTCACATGCTGCGGTGCAGAAAATGAAAGACATGAATGAAAAAAAAAACATAATAAATAAATAAATGAGGAATATGTAGATACTGGGTTGGGGTTCTTGTTTAAAATGTGTCATGTGAACACAGCAGAAACGTAAGGTTGTTTTGGATACGTGCTGCTCTGACATAGCTGCAGGATTGAATTATGGATGTAAGTAGTTTAAGTAGACTTGTTTGAGTATTTGTGATGTAATTGCTTCCACTCGGGCGGCTTGGATACATTGACAGCCTAATTTAGAGAACCACAGTTTTTGGGCAGTCTGCAGAGCTGTCAATCAAACCCTGATAAAGGCGGTGCAGACTGTAGAGGGGATTCTGTAAAAAAGTCACTTATTCTGTTTGCTTTTCCCCCCTCAGTGACTCACTCTCTCACCTTTGCAATCACATCCACCTCATTCACGTGGATACTTACAGATGGAACGTGCAAAATCAAGATGTAAGATCTGAGAGTAACAGGGCTGACAGTCGTACAGTTTATTTTGCCATTGCTAACATTGTGTTCAAGGGCATCACACTTGAATCTGTTCATTAGAAAGAGATTATGATGCAGTTTTTTTTCTCCCAATAATCAAATATTTAACATATATAATCTTGGTAACAGAGCTGACAATGTAAGTTATACCCTGTAACAAAATATATAAAAAATAAAGGGGGGAGGGGGGAATAAACAAACTAACAAATGAATGAATGAATGATGATAAGTCGTGAAACATTATAAAAATCTACTTGCAGAGTTTACTTCCTGTGAAGTATTTATTTATTTGTTTATTTATGAAATGCACATTATTTTAATGGTAAGAGGGTCAACACATTTTTTTTAAATGTGTGTTATGTCATCTAAAATCTAAAAATATTGAGAGAATATACAATATTTTTTATTTTTTGCTAATATAGGAAGAAATTTTAACTGTGCAGGACTGTCAAAAAAAAAGAGTCAACCTTATTAAGAAAACAGCATTATTATTATTATTATTATCAAATTAGGGTTAATTCAGGATAATTGGGACATTTTCCCCCCACTCATCTCAATGGCAGGAACTCTTCATACTGAACTAAGTGTCCATGAAGAGCATTTACAGTATACTGTCGATTACCTCAATGTGTCAAAGTAGTTTGACATCAACAGGATGAAATGGACACTTTTACAGTTCAAATATTAATTAATTAAGTGTTCCTGTGGCTCAGTAGTAGAGCATTGCATTAGCAGCGCAAAAGGTCATGGGTTCGATTCCCAGGGAACACACATACTGGTAAGAAATGTATAGCACTGTAAGTCGCTTTGGATAAAAGCGTCTGCATAAATTAATTAAATTAAAATATTACTTCAATTTTAATAATGAAATGCAATTATTGTACAAGACTGTACTTTTTTCTTGTGACTGTCTTTCAAATATTCAATTCAGTGCTGAGTTCAGGCCATAAAAATGACAAGATGTTGTGTTTGTTAGTAGTCATTAGTAATCATTAACTAATGTTTAGAAGCTAATCATTAACTGTTTATCTTTTTTTGTCTTCACAGCAAATGCTGAATGATCATGAAACGTCGTCTCAAGACAGCTGTATTAAAAAGGTAGGATTCACTTCATGTCAGTCCTCCCCTCTCGACACGTCTATGTATGCTGATATCACCACACACAAATATTAATAACACAAAAGCAAAACGACAATCAATAATTTGTTCCTATAGGGTTTTATTTGCTATCTATCTATCTATCTATCTATAATCTAAAAATATATTGTTCATTGTCAGATCATGTTAGTTAATGCATGAATTAATGTTAACCAAAGAGACCTTACAGTAAATTGTTGCCAACACTTTTTATGATCAATAACCTTTTTTAAAAATTATTTTAATGATCCATAAGCAGTTGTGAAAATTATATAAAACAATGTTACCAGTAAAATACATAATAACTTATTTTATATTTATATATATATATATATATATATATATATGTATGTGTGTTTGTATGTATGTATGCTTGCATGCATGTATGTATAATTTCTGCTGATTTGTAGAAAAACTGTAGAAAATCTTTATTTTGGCTAACAAGCATTATTTTTGGAAAACCCTTTTTTCTTTTTTTTTTATAACTGTGCTTTTGCGTAGCTTTTTTTTTTTTTTTGAACCATTACATGCAGATATTAAACAAAAAAAAACACTTTTTACAGAAAAAAGCACGAGAAGGTGATACTACTGTAAATTACACAACAGTCCTTCTGTCTACTCCTATTAAAAATATTAGTCTCACAGCACTCTGATTCAGTGTGTGTGTGTGTGTGTGTGCGTTATTAAGCTTATCTAAAATCTTCAAATATCAGGTTCAATCCAACACAACATCAGCGTCCCGCAGAACCTTTGCATAGGCTCACACACCCTCCATTCAGAGGATGAGACAGGAAACGGGTTCAGTGTCAAACCTGCATATGGCCCAATAATCCCAGAGCACAGCCTCTTCCTGTTCTGCTCTGAATGAGTCACTGAGATTCATACGAGCTCCCGTTATCTCCAAACCTGGAACAAGCTGGCTTCTCATACGAGCGACACTGGGTGCTTTCTCAGATAAATATCCCTGAAGGCCTCCAATGCCACATCTTCTCCAACTGTCTAGCTTAAATGAATATATTTATAAAGTCCTGCTCCCATCAGTCAGTGATGAAACTTTAGCATTCATTTGATCGCAGGAGATGGTTTAACCTGCGCTGCTGTGGCGACGGCCCGGCGGGGGGCGCAGATTCAGACGACAGTCTCATCACTCACTAGCCATTTAATGCTCACTTCTCCACACGTCTCAAAGCTCGCATGCAATCTCCACTAGTCACAGTCTTTAGAATATTCCTCTTCATACTGAACTAAGTGTCCATGAAGAGCATTTACAGTATACTGTCGATTACCTCAATGTGTCAAAGTAGTTTGACATCAACAGGATGAAATGGACACTTTTACAGTTCAAATATTAATTAATTAAGTGTTCCTGTGGCTCAGTAGTAGAGCATTGCATTAGCAGCGCAATATCTATCTATCTATCTAGTCTGACCATTTCTATCTATCTATCTAGTCTGACCATTTCTATCTATCTAGCTATCTATCTATCTATCCCATGTCAATACATTTTAACAATGAAGTTAATCAAATTATAATGTATCTAAAAGAGGTTTTTCTTTCTTTCTTTCTTTCTTTCTGTCTTTCTCTCTCTCTTTCTTTCTTTCTTTCTTTCAAGCAAACATTCTTCACAGTTCATCTTTATTTCAGTACGTTTGATTCATGTTTAATGAACTTATTTTTTTTTTGTTTTGAATGGTTTCTTTTTAATGTTTCACTCAAACCAGTTTGTGAATAGTTTGTGAATCACTCAGTTTAATTCCATTTAGCTTGAAACAATGCAACATTGACACAACGTAACTTAAACTGCATACTGTACAGCGACATCTGAGAACAATATAGTGATGGTTTTAGGAAGCAATCCCACTTAATTCACTATAATAACCCGACCTCTGAACAAAATTGTGTTGTGTTGCAAATCAGTGTCTTTCAGAAGTATGGATGTGATATTTTGTCAAAATGTTTTATGCACCAACTCTGTGTGTGTGTGTGTGTGTGTGAGAGGGCAGAATCAGCCCTGAGGTTATGTAATGAAAACATCTGTGCCAGATAATCTATAACATCATCCATTTATTTTTCTCACACCCCACCCTGTGTCTCTGAAGCATCTGTGTCAGACAGAAAAACCGCTGTTATTAGGAGAGCTGAAAGATTTCTTAAGTCAAATCCCAACAGACAGACATAAAGAAAAATAGCTTTTTCCATTTATTTATCCTTTGCTTTTAACCCGTTATCCCTCCTTCACAACACAAACAATTAGAGATGCCTATCTGAGTCTGTCCATATCTGTCCAGCGCCGACCCTCACACATACACACACACACACACACACACACACACACAAGCCTTGATCTGAGCTCTTTTAGATGTAATCCACCACACTGTGTCCCAAAAGTGTGCACGTGTGATTGTGTAGATGTGTGTGTGACACGTAAGCTTACAGTGAACTGACAATGATAATACACAGAGACATAGATTAATTATAGAAAATCAATGTGTTGTAATTGTATTTGAAACAGATCACCTCCGGCATTGTGCCTGCGTGGTCTGGCTGGATATGAAAACATTTCGCTTTGTAAATGTAGCTAAAACAGGCGGCTGATATTTTAATGAGAAGGAGATTAATGGCTCTTCTGACAGGCTCTCTGAGACGGTATCAGTGCTTTTGTGGCCCCTGCTGCGACCCATCTTTCATAGACTTTAAAAATGCCCAGTGTTATTTTAACTTGCACGGTTTATATCTAGGAGTGATAAAGGTCTGATAGTACAATCATGACAATTTGTGTCTGTAAAAGCACCAATATTGAAATGTTAGCCAACAACAATTTTTATAAATTGTAAAAAAAAAAATGATATCAGTTATTGCAATATCATATATTTTATAAATCTGGAATTACAATGAATAGTCCCGACACTATACTATGTGAACAACCTACAATTGTTGGTGGATATATGTGTTGTATTATGGTGGATATATATGTTGATCTTTGCCACTATCCTTCAACCCACTAGGTTTTAGCTATTTGTCAGCAAGTTTTTAATAATTTAAAATATAATCAAATTTTATGTGATCACTCTTTATTTTATATATTTCAATAAGTATGTTGTGTCATTTTTAAATAAATATATGTTATGCTGAGTGATGATGAAACATTATTTCACCCATATTTTGAAATTTTGTTTTTAAAAATGTTCTATGAAACATTAAATGTTACTCTTTATTTGTATATAATGTGCTTTTTTATATAATTGTGAATTTAATTTGACGCATATTTTTATTCATTTAATATATAGTTGGAGAACATTTAAGGGAAAAAAAATTATATTAATAATCTTTCAAGTCTTTCATTATTTATTTATTTATTTATTTATTTTTTTAAGGTAGATTAAAGAAAAATGGCAATTTTTGCATTGTACCTTAATATTTATAGCTCTCACACATGCCATGTGGCACATTCCACCACTTTTTTTGTCGTCTTCTTCTTTTCATGGAAAGGTGAAAGGAGAGTTGCTGTACCCGTTAACATCAGTAAAAGGAGGTCTGTCCGCAGTGGAAATGAATCTCTAATGTTATCTTAACTGAACTAGGAAAATCTGCTCCTGTAAAAATATCACCTCAAGCAACCCTGCGAATTTAGGGCATCTGATTATGCCCCCAAATACATTACAGGTCAGGAGGGGCATCGTGCAGCTCTGAGGCGAGTCACCTCAAATGTGACGATTGATTGATTATCATGTTCATTTGTTTGAAATGATTATCTGGATATAATAATCACCGCCGTTCACCCCCTGCCTCGTGCTGCATTTTCATGCTCTCTTGTCCCCCCGTATAATGCGCCTCCATCAGAAATGGCCTCTGGTTATGGAGGCGTAGTAACAGGGGCCTCCCGGTTGGGTCCTCAGGGGCTGGGGGGCCCCATTGATGAATGATGACCCAAACGAGCCTGAAATCAGAGAGAATAAACAGGGGGAAGAAGAGAAGAGGAGAGGGACAGGGAAGGCTGGTAACTATCTGTAGCGGAGGGCAATTATACGGCAGGCCAGGCAGCCCCAGGGGCAGCAGATCGCTCTGAAGCATGCAGAGGGGACCTGACCACCCAATACACTCACACAAACACATACGGTGGGACCGATGGGAAAGGAACGGAGAGTTTTTGCTTTTTCATGAAAAAGCATTAAGGGAATTTGACAAGCTAATCATGCGTCGTTTTACAAGCCTGATCTGAACGACAATCGCAAAATGACCCTTCATAACGAGATTTCAATGCACATTAAATGTTTTACGAGTGTCTCTCCGTCTGCTAGCAAACACAGATCTAAGCGATTCGAGCGCAGAGCAGTTAACTAGTTTTGCGTCTGAACGCTTTTAACGACGCTTTCTAACTGTCACTTCAGGAGCTCCTTTAAGGGAAAGCGATTCCACGCTGAAACATGCCTGTTCAATTAAAACAGAAAGCTTTCTCATGCACTCCAGCGCTAGACGGTCTGAAAACACAGAGAAGTTAAAGACGTTTAGTCTTTTCTGTCACTACGAGGGGAGGAGGATTGTGTAGAAATAATATTTGAGGTTTTTAGCATGACTATGAGAAGACTTAATGATAATATCCCTTCTCGGCCCCTGGCTCGGTTACGTTTTAATGGCCCCTGACTGACAATCTTTCTTTCTGTGTGGGTGCTTGTTGAAGTGGCATGTTATTTAGAAAGATACTTTCTCTTATTTCAGGAGAACGATCAATTAGGCCGTGTATGATTGTTTAGATACTTCTTCAGGTGTGATAGCTGCTCAGCTCATACTGTAATGAAAATTAAATCAGAATTGACCTACAGTAAGGTATCATCACAATGCAATAACTATGAAACGTTTTTTTCAACCCCTCCTTTCCAGTCAACTGTACAAAAGAGAATGCTAATTCCAATCCAATCAATTACCAAAGAATATAGGCTATTCAAGTCAATGTGTTTCTAACT